GGGGGTTATGGGGTCATTGGGGCCCTGAGGGGGGTTATGGGGTCACTGGGGGAGGGATCAGGGGTTTATTGGGGTCTGGGGGGGTCGTGACCCCAACGTGGTTCAGGGAGCCAATCGCAGTCTAAGGCTGTGGCCACGCCCACAGGAAGGGACACACCCACCCCAAGCCCCGCCCCCTTTGCCGCACCCCCACAAACCCCGCCCACAACCCAAACCCGGAACCCCCCACGCCCCCTCCCCTCAGGCCACGCCCCCTCCCTGAGCGCGCGCGGGGGGGCGGCGCCTCCGCGCTCGCGCCCGGCGGGGAGGAGGCGTGGCCGCGGCCGCGCGCGCGCGCCGCTCTCACCTGGGCTCAGGTGCTGCCGCGGGCGCGCGCCGCCATCGCGCTCTCCCGGCGGGGCGGGGCGGGGCCGGGAGAGGGCGTGGTCTCCTCGATGCGCATGCGCAGTCCCTGCCCTCTCTTCCCCGCCGCTTCCCGCCCGCCGCGTCCTTCCCGTTGCCGGGCGACACGCGCGCTCCCCGCTGCGCGGCCTCTGATTGGCTGAGGGCTCGGCGGGCGGCCAATGGCAGCGGGCGTAGTTGCGGGGTGGGCGGGAGGCGGGAGCGCGGCCGCGCGTGAGGGACGGGCGGAGCGGGCGAGCGGCGCTGAGGGGCGATGTCGGCTCGGGGCGGATTCGGCGACCCTCAGGTGCCGTGAGGGGCCTTCCCTTCTCAACATCCTCCGGGAGGAGAGGGGGGACACGGGGGAAAGGCGGGGGGATGGTTCATGCTGCCCCCGGAGCCGGGAGAGCTCCGCGGGGAGGGAAAACGGGAGAAATTCTCCTTTTGAGGCTTTAAATCAGCGGGGTTTAATACCCAGGTGGGGATTCAGGAATTTCTCGCTGGTTTTTCTGTCTCTTAGACCCCTTCAAATCGCATTTTCTTCTAATTTTTCTTCCTTTTTTTTTTATTTTTTGAATTTTTTTTAATTTTGGCTTCTCATCTTTTCCATGTTGAAACAGCTTCTAACCCGGCGCATCCCCACGAATCCCAAGTATCAACATATAAAAACTCGTCTGGATACTGGTAAGTGAAATTGTGGGATAAAACCACCCAAAATGGGTGTAGTATGACAGAAAAAACATAATTAATGTCTCAAGTACCTCTGCCCTGAGCTAATTTACCTCAACACTACAAAATCCTTACAGTGCTTGTGATTTGTCTCACCGAATGTTTGCAGCTTATAAAAATTTCCTGTTGATAGTTTTCCTTCAAAGGTGAAATTTAAACAAACACGAGCTCTAGAGATTAATGTGTATATGTATATATATATTTTTTATGTATCTAAGTGCATTTATCTTCACACACCACCTTGCACCCCTCCTGAAAATTGAGATTAAGTGCTCTGTGCGTAGATGACTGCGTAAAAAAGTTATTTTTGAAGTAACTTTAAAGTCTTTGTTGTCTTAAGACTTGTTTATTTTCTTTTTCCTACTCTGCTTTTTTTTAAAGAAGAATTTGGAGGTTAAATAGGTTTAAACTGGGTCAGGCTCTGTTGTGGTGGTTCCCATAGAAATTACTGTTCTTGGAATTTCTATCCGTGGATTTTCCTGTATCTTTGTCAAGGATGTCAATGATGGGAAAGGAACAGCAAATCCTTGGATTTTTCTGTTTAGTTCTACTTTCCTTGAGAGAAAAAAAGAAAAATCGTGGCATTTTTGTACTTTTTATTGTCACTGTGAAGGAGGATCTACAACAAACAACTCTTTCCTTCAAAGCAATTAAAATTTAAGCCTTAATGGGCCTGAAGAAAACCCCTAATAAATAAATAATTGTAATAAATCGATTTTTTTTTTTTTACAGGAAATAGTTTGTCAAAATACATGGAAAAATTGGAAGAGATCAAAAGAAGTGAGTAACTGGGGAGGAGCAGGATGGGTTAAAAATGGGGTGGTTTAAAACTCAAAAGAGCAGGAGAAGAATTCCAGGGGGTTTTCCTTGGAAATCTCCACAGATTTAGTTTAAAAATCCAAGCAGGAATCTTCCAGATCCTTCTTGGTACAGTTTTGGTATTGGATTTTGTTCTTGGAAGTTCTCTGAGCTAAGAAATCCAGGCTAGACTCATCTGGGAAGATTTATGGATCATGTCTGAGACTTTATTTCACTTTTAGGTCACAACTTGAACTCTTTTATCTTTAGATAATTTCAATTCCTATCAAAATACCCCAAGAGAGGAAAAACCCAAGCACATTCCTTGTCTTTCCATTGATTTCACCAGCACTAAACACTGGCATTTTGAGAGTATTTTGAAGACTTTAGGTTGTTCAGGCTAATGAAAGCCTAAATTCTTTTAATTTCTCAATTTTCCCACCAAAACCAAGCTTTTCAAATATTTTTCCCCAATAAAACCAGTGATTTATGACTTTATTCCCAGATTATTCTCACCCAAGGAGCCAGGAAAACCCTTCAACCTCTCAAAGCTGCGTTTGTGGAGGCGAAAAAAAGCCCCAAGTTGAACTGAAACCTCCATTAATGAGCATTAATTAGGATTTGAAACGTCCAGGTTTAGTTCTCAGCCCCACTTTTATTTGTGAGGGAATTTTTTTTGTGCAGAACCAGCCTTTGTTTGTGGTTTGTTTGTTGAGTTCAGGGTTTTGTTTCTCAAACACTGCAGGTCTTTGGGGAGGGGAGCAGAAAATGAAAAGAGGAATGACCTCGAGCTTTCCAAAAGCCTCTGTTGATTGAGATTTCAGTGCTGGACACTGCTTTTCTTTTTTTTATTTCTGTTGAAAATCTTGGGTTTGTTGTTTTTATTTCTTTGGGGGGGTTTCCAATCTCCCCGCGGATCTGTTCCACGCGCTTCTTTCATTCCCTCCTTTTTTTATTTTATTTTTTTCGGAGGCCAGGGAGGAACTTTCTCATTCTCTGCAGGCTGAATGGACACCTTGTGTTCCCAGGGAGTGGAGGAATCTCTCCCCCTTGGTTTCTCAGGGATAGATGACACCCTTTGGATGCAGATTTAAATCCCCAGCACAGGCACCTCTCTGTCCCTTATGTAACGTGAGAGATTTAAATCCACGCCGTCAAAAATTCAAGAGCTGCGCCCACCCTGAGCCATCCTTTGGAGGATTGACTTGAGGACGCTCTTCCTTCCTCTCTGCTGCTCTTTCCCTCCTCTCCAAAGCCCTGAGGAGCCCATCCTTGGGAAAACAGAACCATTCCCAGCAAAACCATGTCAGAAAATCCCAACGGATCCGCCAGGACCGGACCGGGTACGTGGGGTTGCTTTTGGAGCTGCAGGCAGCGCTTCCGAGCTCTCTGGGAAGGCATTTTGGGTGGCAAAGGCAAGATTTAGGGCAAAGAAGGTATTTTTTGGGATGAAAATTCCTTATTTGAGGTAGGAAGGAGCCACCCAGGAGCCAAATTTTTTGCTGGTGGCTTTATCCATCCAGCACTTCCCAAGCTTCGCTGTTTTTATTTGTCCTTCTAAATGAAGTTTATTTGCCATGACAGAAAGGCTCTTCTTTTGACCTTGGCTGGGCAATTTTAATCCTTGAGCAGCTGGAAAGGGAAATGATTACAGGAGATAATTTGGTTTGTTGGTTTTTTTTTGAGTTAAAGGAGGATTTAACAACCTCAGCTCGAGGTTTGAAACCAGGTGGTTTTGCGAGAGCCACGAGGGTCATTTCCCAGTGAGCTGACATCCTGAAATCCAGTTTCTGCACCTCCTCATCCTCCAGTCCAATTTCTGCACCTCCTGTGCTTCAGCCCCCTGGTTTATTTTGGAATATTTTGCTGTATTTTATTTTATTTTGGTGTCTATTTTGGAAGTGCTCCTTTTTTTTCCCCCAGGAGCCCCTTGTGAGGAGCAAAGAGCTGCTCGTTTTGCAGCCTGCTGAAAATGATTCAGGGGTAAGGCGTTGAATTTGGGAACTTGGAATGTGTTGGGAAGAGCAACTCTGCCTCCAGCATTCCCGTGCCTCTCTAAACACAACTCATCTTGGGAATTTCCACGAGCAAATCCCACGGGAATATTTTGTTTTGTGTGTGTGGTGGCTGCAGGATTGCGCGTTGGAACCCTTCCCCCTCATCTCCCCCAAGCTAACGGAGCGTTCAGCAGATGGTTTTAGAGGATTTAGAATCCTTGAACTGAGTGGATTTGCCAAAGATCCCGCTCTCCATCGTTATCCCTGGGAGCTGGAGAGGCACCAGCTCCTTCCCAGCCTGGCATTTCCCAAAGGACAAAGCTCCCCTTGCTTCCCAGGAGAGGTTATTCCATAGCAAGATGTTCCTACCGATATCCTGGCTTCTCTTTCCTCCTCCTCACACCTTTTGTTTCCCTCCAGGAGGTTTTTTTTTCCCCCTCTGCCTCTCCAGGATCTGGATGGGATCAGATCCTCAGCTCGGGGAATCTCTGCTCTGGATCTTTGCCAACAGCCCCGCTCGGTTTTCTTCCTCCCTGAGCTGCGTTTTCAGGATTAAAATTCAATTAGTGCGGTTTCTTGTGTTAATTAGCCATTAAGACTCAATTAGTCTAGTTTCTTGTGTCGGTTATCCCTTCCTTGAGGGATCAAATGAAAGAAATCAGAATTTAATTGTCAGATAAATGATAAAATCCTGGATTTTTTTTTTAATTAAGATGAAACCCGCGTGTTTAACTCGATATTTGCAAAGGCAAGATCCCCCATGCTCTGATCCTGCTGTAATTGACACAAATTAAAAATTCAGGTAAATTAATCTATTGGTTTAAGGAGCTTTGGGGCTCCAAAGAACAGCAGGGAAAGGGAGGAATTCCTGATTCTTTATGGAAAACATAAATTCATATTTGAGTCTAAACTAAAAAACTAAACTTTAGTTTTAGTCTAAATTAAAAGCAACTAAATCTGCTTCTTCCACTTCATCATATCGGGGCAAGAAAATAATATATAAAAATACAGTTATTATTATATAATATTATAACTGGTGTTAATTAAAATTTCTCTTTATAACTGGTGTTAATTAAAATCTCTCTTTATAACTGACATTTCACAAAGTCTCCAGGTTTGCTGCTCTCATCCTTCACCACAAACTTGCCCTGAATTCCTGCCTGGCTGCAGAAGAATCCCAGAAAAAAGCTGGGATTAAGCCATGACCTAAAAAAAACCCCCTGGGAATAAACTGAAAATTCACCTTGTCCTCTTTGTTTTGTTTTTGAAGATTACAGGTATAAAAAGGATGAGCTGTTCAAAAGGCTGAAGGTGACAACTTTTGCTCAGTTGGTAGGTACAAATCCCTCTCTGAACTCCAAAAATCTTTTAGGAGCAGCATTTTTCCTTGGAATAAAAAAATCCCTCTGTAATTATTCAGCTTTAATTGTAATTATTCCGTCCTGGCTTCTTCCTGCCTTTAATAAAAGCAAATCATTCATTTCCACAGCGGCCAAATGCCTTTAATTCCAAATTAAAAGTTTGTGGTGGCTCAATCTTTGAAATTTATTCTTTATTTTATTTGTCCATTAAGTCAGAAGGATCTTCAGGCATCCGCAAAAGTCAAAATTAGATGTAAAACAGCACCTAAATCTGAGTTTTGAGTCTGAAGCCCTCTCTGAGCTCAGGTTTAACTGCAGAGGGTGAGCAGTTGGGACTTGAAGGTTTGCTGTGCATTATTTTATTTCAAAGCAGTTTTTATTTAAAAGCTTTTTTTTAATATTTAAAAAATAAAAAGTGAAAAATGGATCAGGAAATAAAGAGCTGGGGGGATGCTGGTTCAAGAAAACTGCTTCAAACTAGGGGAAAAAACCCAAATTGTGAGAAGGAAAAGGGATGTTAAACTTGGGGATGCTGAAAGGGGGGGATTCTGTGGATTTGGGGTGGGTTTTTTTCCCCTTGGATTGTTTTCCTTGGGCTGTGGGGATCAGTGTTTTGGTGTTTTTGTGCCCTGCAGGTGCTCCAGGTGGCCTCTCTGTCCAATGAAACCTTGGAGGTGACAAAGGAGGAGCTGCACGAGCTGCCAGGTGACAGCTGGGGGGGAAAGGGGCAGAGCTGGCACCGCTTCGTCAGCGGGGAAAGAGAATTTAAAAATAATAATTATCTTAAAGTAAATATATACATTAAAATTTAAAAAAATTATATTAAAATAAATATATCAAAATAGAAAGTAAAATAATAATGAAGTTATATTAAGATAAAATAAATAAAATGAAAAATAATAATGAAATTGTATTAAAATAAAATAAATATAATAATGAAATTATATTAAAATAAATAAAAATAGAAAATATAAAAATAATGAAATTATATTAAAGTAAATATATAAATAATTTTTTTTTAAAAATATATTCAAATAAATAAAAATAGAAAATAAAATAATAATGAAACTATATTAAAATAAATAAAATAAAAATAATAATGAAATTATATTAAAATAAATAAAAATAGAAAATATAAAAATAATGAAATTATATTAAAGTAAATATATAAATAAAAATATGAAATAAAAAATAATAATTATATGAAAGTAAATATATAAATAAAAATAAAAAATATGAAATATGAAAGTAAATATATAAATACAAATAAAAAATAAATTGTGTTAAAGTAAATATATAAATAAAAACAAAAAAAATTATATGAAATTAAGTATATAAATAAAAATATAAAATAAAATACATTAAGTAAATAAATAAATTAGTAAAATAAATAAAACCTGTGCCCTGCAGCAATCCCAGGCTGGGAATAGGAATTCCTAAAAATTTAGGTTTTTTTAACTCCTAAAAAATTAATTAAATTAAAAAAGAAGGGCTTGCAAGTAGGAAAAGCCTCGTGCTGGCAGTTCTGTGGTTGTAACACAATCCATAGATTGAATTGAATATTCAATTCCTTCAACCCACAGAAGTGAAAATTCTGTTTTATTGACTTCTTCAAATGAGACCTTGAGCCTTTAAAAAAAAAAACAAAACCAAAAAAAACCTGTCAGCTCTTTATTATTTTAAATAGGAGGCTCAGGATAAATTCTCCTCGTTAAGAGGATGAAGATAATAAAGCTGTCACACTTTTCTTTCCAGGAATAGAAACTCCCCTTAAAACCTTCTTGTTTACCTCCTCCTTAACTCCTGGTGTCCTCTGGTGTCCCCAGACTCTGCAGGTGACGACACAGAGGGGACAAAAAACGACAAAGGGAGCCCTGAGGGCACGGCCAGCCCCGTCCTGTTCCTCAACAACTCCGGAGCTGGAGAATCCCATCGCTCCACGCTGCAGAGGTGCCTCACCAGAACATCTGGGTGGGATAATTCGGGATATTTTCCCCAAAACTGAGGTGGTTTTCTCCTGTTCAGGCTCATTTATTCTTCTTTTATCTTTGTTACATTTCTACAGAGTACATAAGTATAAGGAGCGCTAAGAGAGGTGTAAAATGGTTAACAAATGGTTTTTGTGTCTATTTATCCAATTAACAAATGGCAAATAAGTTATTTTTCTTAGTGACCCAATGACCCCACACTTTATCCAATCCCTCTTTATTACCCAAAAACCCTCAGAGGAAGAAGATGAAGAAGGAGAAAGCACAACACTCCTATTTTCTAAAATTTAAAAATCCTTAAATTTCTTTAAAATTTTCTAAATTCTAAAATTATTTTCTTATTTTCAAAGTTTCTCACCCAGTGCCCTAAGAAAACTCTTAACACACACACACCAACTTTCCCAGTTTCCCTATGGAATTTTACCAGCTGTCTCCATGGTGTTCTATGAAATTCAGAGCTCTTTTGGGTGTCAGAGCCAGCTGTCACAGATAAAATCACATTTTCTGTGCCTCTGACCCCAACATTCCTGTCTTTGGAAGACCTTGATTTGAGCCCGGCTCAAATTTAAATTGAGATATATTTTTAATTATATTTTTAAATTGTATTTCTCATTAAAGGCTGGGTTTGTATGTGAGAGTGAAGGGGTTGGAAGGATTTCCTGTTGGAATGGGTTTGGCTGGAGGCAGCAAGGCGATCTTGTTGTCACCTGCTGATGACAAAAGGTCTGAAAAGGAAATGTGTTGGTGGGATTCCATCCACCATTCACATTCTGGAATTTTGGGGGTTGCACAGTTCCTGGTGGTGTTTTTGTGTGGATACAGAGGGACAGGACACAGGGGATGGCTTCAAAGTGATGCAGGGTTATTGGGAAGGAATTCCTGGCTGGAATAGAATTCCTAGAAAAACAAGCCAGGCTCCCCTTCCCTTCCCACACCTTCCCTTCCCGCACCTTCCCTTCCCGCACCTTCCCTTCCCCTTTTTTTTCCTCTCCCCCTTTTTTTCCCTCTCCCCCCTTTTCCCTCTCCCCCCTTTTCCCTCTCCCCCCTTTTCCCTCTCCCCCCTTTTCCCTCTCCCCCCTTTTCCCTCTCCCCCCTTTTCCCTCTCCCCCCTTTTCCCTCTCCCCCCTTTTCCCTTTCCCCCCTTTTCCCTTTCCCCCCTTTCTTTTCCTTTCCCCCTTTTGCCTTTCCCCCCCTTCTTCTCCTTTCCCCCTTTTTCCTTTCCCCTCTCCCCTCTCCTCCCCTCCGCAGCCCCGGAGCTGCTGCAGTCCGTCTCAGCCCCATTCCCTGTTCCTGTGTTCCGTTCCCAGCGTGATCAGCGGGGTGGGGGAGCTGGACCTGGAGAAGGATTCTCCAAAGGAAGAGGAGAGCCAGGCCAGGGAGACGCCGTACCCCGACTGTCCCTTCCTGCTGCTGGACGTGCGGGACCGCGACGCCTACGAGCAGTGTCACATCGTGGGAGGTGAGCGGCCACAGCCCCGCCACAATCCCTGCATTCCAATTCCCACATTTTGGATTTTGTGGTTTTTATTCATTTTTCTATTTTTTTTATTTATTTTTTATTTTTGTCCCCCAGCTGGGACAACACCGGATTCATTTATGGATCATTTCTGAGATTTTTATTTCACTTTTAGGTCGTATCTTGAGCTCTTTTAGCTTTAGATTATTTCAATTAATTAATTAATTTAATTATTTCATTCTTAATAATTAATAATTAATTTATTAATAATTTAGTAATTTTAATAATTAATAAGATTAACACTTTTTTTTTTGGGGAGAACAGGACAATGTTTCTCCATTTCTGGATCCCTACACCTTCCCTCCCCAGCATTCCGTGGTTTTAATTAATTAATTGAATTAATTATTAATATAAATATTATACATATATTAATATATAAAAATATATAATATATTAATAAATAAAAATTATTTCTATATATAAATATAAAAACTATAATTTTCATTAATTAAATTAATTATTAATAAATTTTAATAATTAATGATTATCAATAATTAATGAATGGATAATGAAAACAATTTATCATTCAATTAAAAATAGAACTAATTCTATTTACTATATTAATAAACCTTAATAATTTAACAATTTCAAAATACCCCAAGACAGGAAAAAACCCGAGCACATTCCTCGTGTTTCCATTGATTTCACCAGCACTAAACGCTGGCATTTTGAAACTCTTTTGAAGACTTCAGGTTGTTCAGGCTAATGAAAGCCTAAATTCTTTTTATTTCTCAGTTTTCCCACCAAAATTCGTCTTCCCAGTGCTTATCCAGCACATTCCCCCTTCCTGGGAAGGGATGAGCTGATCCCAGCTGATCCCAGCTCAGAGATGTCGAGCCTCTGGATGATTTTTCCCTGTTTTTTTTTCCCTTCCATTCTGCAGCTTATTCCTACCCCATCGCAACGTTGTCCAGAACCATGAATCCCTACACAAATAATATTCTGGAATACGTATCCTTTCCGTGGAAAACGGGTGGGGGGGCTCCCAAAATCAACTGGAGCTTATCCAAGCAAAATTAGGGATCTCAAAACAGGAGTTTCCTGCTGCAGCTCCACTTCCTCCATCCGGATTCCGCTTGCTCCTCTTGACTCCGCTGGGAGCTGCCTGGATTCGGCGTTTCCCAGGATTTTGGCTGCTCCAGGGATGCATCCATCAAATCCTTTGGCTTCCTGTCAACACCTTGATGGGATTGGGGACAGCAAGAGGATTATGAAGTGGGATTGGGCTGAGCATTCCCAGGTTGTTGATTCCGAGGGGAGGCTGTGAACAAAGGGGCTCTTGCCATTGCCAGTCCTCAAGCAATGCTGGATCCAGCGGGAATTAAGCAAGACATTCCCAAGTACAGAGTCTTTCCCTCTCCAATCCCATTTATATCCCTCTTTTTTCCTTCCTGAAATGTTTCAATATCCTCTTTTTAAGTTCCTTAACGATCCCCACGGCAGAAAAACGCCCACGGGAAAATCATCATCGTCTACGACAACGACGAGCGCTTGGCGAGCCAGGCGGCCACCACCATGTGTGAGAGGGGCTTCGAGAACCTCTTCATGTTATCTGGGGGTACGTGGGGCTGGGAGAGCTCCCCGAGACCCCCCTGGCCCAGGGATGGGGGAGCTGGAAAAGATTTGGATTGTGGAATTACGGGATGGGATAGGATGGGATGGGAGGAAACTGAAGGATCGTCTGGTTCCAACCCTTCCACCATCCCAAGGTGTTTCCAGCCCTGTCCAGCCTGGCCTTGGACATTCCAGGGATCCAGGAGCTGCTCTGGGAATTCCAGCTGAGCCAGGAATTCCCAAAATCCCATCCATCCCTGCCCTCTGCCAGTGGGAAGCCATTCCCTGTGTCCTGTCCCTCCAGGCCTTGTCCCCAGTCCCTCTCCAGCTCTCCTGGAGCCCCTCCAGGCCCTGGAATGTGCTGGAAGCTCTCCCTGGATCCTTCCCTTCTCCAGGAGAGCATTCCCAGTTCTCCCAGCCTTGCTCCAGCCCTGCAGCAGCTCTGTGGATTCCTCTGGATTCCTCTCCCCAGCAGCTCCAGGTGCTGCTGCTGTGTCCCCAGAGCTGGACTCCATGTGAGACCTCACCTCAGCAGGGCACAGGGACAGAGAATTCCCCCCTCTCCTGCTCCCCACATTTCTCCATCCCAACTTCCTGGACCTCCCGCTCCATGAATCCCTCGTGACTTCTCCCTCCTGACCCATCCAGCTGGGCTAACAGCTCCGTGTCCCCGCAGGCCTCAAGGTCCTTGCCCAGAAGATCCCGGAGGGGTTGATCACCGGCACGCTCCCGGCCTCCTGCCAGGTGACGGCTCCGGCGGGAACTGCCCGCAGGAGAACCGTTCCCAGGGCGCCGCCGGCGCGCGCCGAGAACAGGTGGAGGTTTTCTGCAGATGATCTGCAAAAACTGAGGCGTTACCTGGCCGAGGAGCAGCTCCCTTCAGACGCTGCCAGTGAGTGTCTCACGTCCACAGAATGCTGGGCTGGGAAGGTGGAGGGATCCAGAAATGGAGAAACGTTTCTCTGTTTGTCCTGTTCTCCCAAAAAAAAAAGTATTAATCTTATCAATTATTATTATTATTAAAATTATTAAATTGTTATTAAATAAATGTAATAAATTATTATTAAATAAACATAATAAGTTATTATTAAATTATTATTAAATAAATATAATAAAAATATTATTGAATAATTTTAAAATAAATATAATCGTAAAATATTCATTAAATTAATATTATTAATTATTGTTACTAAAGTTATTGAATCATTAATATATTATAAATATATATAAATGTAAATTATTATTAAACTATTATTAAATAAATAAAGAATATTATTAAATAATTTTTAAATAAATATAATAATAAATTATTATTAAATAAGTAAATTAATCTTATTAATTATTATAAGTAAAATTATTGAATTATTACTAAACTTAAATAAATATAATAATAAATTATTAAATTATTATTAAATAAATATAAAAAAATTATTAAAGAATTTAAAATAATATAATAATTATTAAATTATTAATAATTAAATTATTTTTATTAATTTATATTAGTAGATTTATTAAATTCTTAATATATTATTAAATATAATTATAGATTATTAAATTATTATTTATTAAATAAATGTAATAATGACTTACTATTAAATTATTATTAACCAAAATTAATCTTATTCATTATTATTGAAATTATTAAATTATTAATAAATTATTATTAAATATATATAATAAATTATTGTTAAATTATTATTAATTAAAATTAATCTTATTCATTATTATTTTTAAAAGTATTAATCATATTTGGCAGCAACAGAAAAGCTTCCAAATATCCCCGATTCGGAAAATAAAAAAAGCAAGATTTGTAAAAAATTAAGTAGAAAGTTTAGTAGAATGTTTGGTATGTCACTGAAGTGAAAAACAGATTTTTGAGTGTTTAATACATAAAGATGGAAGAAAAAAAGTGTAGTTTTTAGCTCTCCTTCCTTCTTCTCCACGGTTCTGCAGTTTTTAAAAGCACAAAGAGTGATTGGTTGAGAGTTAGTCATAGTTTTAATTACATAAGTAGATATAAAAAACTTATTTGTTAATATATAAAAACAATACACGTGTCTATTGTTAATTAAATAAAAATAGATATAAAGATGAAACAACCACGTGGTTCAGAGCTGTTTTGTGCCATCAGAGCCAAAGAAGACAAAGTTATGGTGAATTAAACTTGTGCAGAAAGTCTGGAAAAGCCTGCCAAGTTTTGTGATGACATCCTAATTAACAAGATCCTAACGAGCTTTAGAGTTTTCCTCCTGACCCCAAAGAACTCAAATAAACAGAACTCCCCATGAAGAAATATCCCAAAAAAACCTCAGCTCAGAGGAGACCGAGAAATCCAAGTTCAAAATGTGAAAATTTGAATTTTTCAAAAGGAAAAATTTCAGGAAGGGACCTTAAACCCCCTCCATCCCACCTTGGATATTTCCTCTATCCCAGGCTGCTCCAAGCTGGCTGGACACATCCAGGAATTGCACAACCACAATTTATGGACAATCAATTTCTGATTTGGGGTTGTTTTTTCCCCCCGCAGGTCGCCTCACCCGCGGCGTTTCGAGCCACGATTCCAAACTCTCATCGGCGAGGAGCAACCCCAGCCTCCCCAGCTCTGCTGGCACCGTGGGATCCCTGAGCAGCCGCTCCCACAGGACCAGCATCCAGAACAGGCCCTGGAAATAAACCAGAATCCAGGTTTTGGGAATGCTGAGCCCGTTTGTGGTTTGAGGGATTGGCAGGGGAAAAGCAGCCGTGGTGAGAATTGGCAGCTCGGGTAAGGATGGAATGACGATTCCTAGGAGCAGGAATGGCATCACCTGAGGGGCAGGGCAGGACAGAGGTGATAGAACTGGCTTTGTAGGGGAAGGAGCTAACTGGGACCAGTAGAAACTGTTCCACAAAGTTTTTAGTCCAGCTGAAGGAATTTTTGTTCGTAACATTCCTGGAGCCGTGAGGGTGAACAGGCCAAAAACCATCTGTGAGCACAAACTTTGGTGTTTTTAGCAGAGATAAAGAGATTCAGCAACTTGCCAAAAGTGAGAGAAAATCCTGAAGGAGTTTTTGGTTGGGTTTTTTTTTTAAATAAATTATGCTAATGAACAGAAATATCAGTAATAAAGATGTTTTTTATTGCCCAGTTGGTGCTGTGACAGTCGATGCTATGTGAATAGTTGTGTCTATTTCAAAGTGAGCTGCAGGAGAATAACTGGAATTTTTATTTTTTCCCAGTGACTCCTTTACCAGAGTTTTTTTAGGAGTTTCTTTAAGGTTTAGGGTGGCTGAAGGGAAATTTGCTGCTGCTGCTGCCTCACCAGGGTCCCTAAAACCCAGCTGGGACCTGGAATCTGGAACTGAATGGGGTGAAGGTTTCCTGGAAAACTTTTCCTCAGATTGGTGCTCCTGGATAAGCTGGGAATGCTCTGATTTTCCTCAGCTGCCCATGGGACACTTTGGAGATGATTTTGGAGGGATTCTACTCCGATTTTTCCATCTGGCATCGCTGAGCCTGGTCCTGCTTCGGTTATCGTGGTCCTGTGGGGTTTGTGTGTATTTCTGGAATCGGTGTTTTTACCCCTTTTTTGAAGCAGACAATTTTCAACACATCCTAAAACCTCACTGGTGATTTTGGGATAGTTCTGATGAAAGGACAAAAAGTAGGAGAAATGGCACAAAATTTCCAGTTTGGCAACTTAAGACTCAACATCCCTGAGCACATTTATCTTTTATTGGCTCTCTGAGTCTAAAATGAGACAATGCTGATTGCAGGTTCAGTCTGATGAGGTCCTGCTGCTGTGGGAGTAGATTTTTCCAGCTCCATGAGCTCTTGGAAATGTCATGGCATTGGCTAAAATCCCGATTTTGCTATCCAGCTGTGGGAGACAGATCCAGAATCCCTGGCTGCTCTGTGCTTGCATGAAAACCTCCTGGTGAAAGTTGGACAAAACTGGCCTGAATTGTTTTGGGATCCTCCAAATCCACGGAATCAGAGCAAGGACTGGATGTACTTCCCCACCACCTCCAGGGATTTGTGTGGATTTGGACTCCTGGTATTGTTTGGAGCAGAGGCTGAGAGGTTTAAGTGTTTAATTTAATAAAATGTAAATTGCAGCATCTGCTTGGGTGATTTCTTTGCAGCTTTGAGAGCTGTGGAGAGCCTGGAAAAGCCAGGAATGGGCAGGGGCTCAGCTCCCCATTCCCAGGGGATTGCAGCAGGTGAGGAGGGGTCACACACTCAGGTTTGGGTGGGAAGTTCCAGCTCCGTTGAGTTCCAACTCCTGGACACCTCCTACTATCCCAAATTGTTCCAAGCCCTGTCCAGCCCAGCCTGGAAAACTTCCAGGGATCCAGGGGCAGCCACAGCTTCTCTGGGAATTCTATCCCAGCCAGGAATTCCTTCCCAAATCCCATCCATCCCTGCCCTCTGGCAGTGGGAAGCCATTCCCTGTGTCCTGTCCCTCCAGGCCTTGTCCCCAGTCCCTCTCCAGCTCTCCTGGAGCCCAAATAAATCCTGCTGAGCCAGAGCCCAATTCCCTTTCCATCCTCTGCCAGAGCAAAGGGAAAACCACCACCTTCCTTCCTTTTCCTGCTATTTTCATGCCCTTTCAACCAATTCCTTTTCCAGGCCACTGGCCCAGCACACCCTGTTTGTGCTGGCACCAACTCCAGCTCCCAGAGGGCTTTTCCACCCCATTTGGAAAAAAAGGAAAACAACCACCGGCTCTTCTCATCCTTCATCCCATTTATTTATCTCTTGATTGCCTTTTTCCTCCTCTCCAGCTGCTCCAGCCCCGATCCCAGCTCAGTACATGTTGTCCCGGGCGTGCTCCATGATGACCTTCAGCGCCAGCCAGGTCTCCTCGGCGGTGGGAACGATCTGCTTGGCGGGAAGCAGGAATCCGTAACGCCCCGTGTCCCGCAGCTCGAAGGTGAAGGAATATTTAATCCCCTCGTTGTAGGTCCAGTCCACGGTTGATCCGCTTGCTTGGTCTGAGGGAGGAGGAAAAAAATGGGAGGAATTCGGAGCCTGGATGGATTTTGTGGGAATTCCGTGGGCTATTTGGGCGGAGTGAGGGGTGGGTTTGGGAATTTTGGGGCTGCACTTACAGATGGTGGTGATGATGCTGCCGTACTTGTACTTGGTGCCGTGCAGGGAGGACAGAGCTGCCACGGCCTTGGCAGAAAGCTCGTGCTGGGAATTCAGGGAAGGGGAGGAAAAGATGAGCCAAAGAAAGGGAGAACCACTGGGATCCAGCTGTTTTCTGGGTGCAAAAAGATGCCAAAGCTCCTCCCAGCTTCAGCAGAAGAGCTGCACCCCATCCCAACCCCTCAAACCACGGGGGCCTCACCAGTTCCTGCTGGTCCGGCACTGGGGTCTCGGTGTAGCCATAGGGATAGAGCAGGAGCTGGGAATAGCTGTGGATGGAGACGAAAGCCTTGATGTTGCCGTGGCTCTTGACGAAGTCCACGATGGATTTCACCTCGGGCTCCGAGTTGGGGTAGGGTCCGTGGTACGTCTCCGTGCAGGGGTTTCCACTGGCTCCGGCCCCTGCGGAGAAGAGGATGGTGAGAACACAGTGGGAATTTGGGGGGGCTTCCAAGCCCAAGAGGTTTTCCCACCCCTTAGCTGCTTGATGCTCCTGGGGCTCCTCCTAGAGATTTGTGTGGTGGTTTTTGGTCACTGGGGGGCATCAAAGCTCTGGTGGAGCCCAAACCCCCGGCGCTGCCACGGAGAGCAAACCCCACCTCTTCCCTCCCAGGGGATACCAATGGATCTTTGAGGTAGATCCAGCTTTGGAGCCTCCAGCTGGAGAGCAGAAACGCTCCACAGGGGCAAGGGGACAGCTCTGACCTCCAAAACCCACGTCCCAGTTGCGGTTGGGGTCCACTCCGACACAGATGGAGCCCGAGTGCTTGGACCTGGTCTTGCGCCACATGCGGTTCTGGAAGGGCAGAGCCACCTCAGCCTCCAGGGCTGGAGCTCCACAGCTCCTGGGGGTCCCCTTCCCATCCCGTGGAAACGTGGATGAGGAGGCTTTGCCCTCTCAGGGATATACAACATCCCCAAATCCCACTCCCCGGCCCCATCCAGCGCGGCTGTAGGAAGCGGGGAGAGGAAATCCGGGGCGGTACCGTGGTGTGGGTGAAGGCAAAGCCATCTGGGTTGGTGACAATCTCCAGGAAGATGTCCATCGTCTCCAGGATGGAGGCCACGCCTTCGTTATTCGCGTGATCCTGGACAATCTAGAGAGGACGGAGGTTTGGGGTTCCCTGTCCTCCCTGTGGGATCACCCACCTGGATCCCACAGCTCCTGAGGGCCGGGTGACCCTTTTGGGATGTGTCAGTACCTTCTTGGCAAACCAGACTCCGCTGGCCTGGGTGACCCACTCGCGGGAGTGGATGCCGGTGTCGATCCAGACGGCCGGGCGGTTCGTGCCCCCTGTGCTGAACTGGGGGAGCAGAGAAGGGTGGGTTGGCTTTGTCCCCGTCACCGCTTTCCCCTCTGGATCACCGTCCCCAAATCCTCACCTTGAGCACGTAGAGGGGACGGTTCTCGGTCGAGCGGCCGATCTCCAGCTTGCTCACCAGGTTGGGGTTCTCGGCCACCAGCATGTCCATGAAGTTGTAGATCTGGGGACGAGGGGTGTGGGGGTCACTCCCAGCTCAGCCCCTGCCCAAGAGCAAACTTTTTCCCCCAAAACACCCCAAAACTTGTGCGTTCCCACCTCATCTATGGTGTGGTAAGCCTCGTAGTTGAAGGTGTCGGTACTGAGGGCCAGCACGCGGCTGCTGCGGAGCATCTCCGTCTGCTCTTCATCCAGCAGGGCCTGTGGGATGTGGGATGAGCCTCATTCCTGCTGAATGGGGAATCCCACCCCTGCCCCGCCTCCCCCGCGGCACTGCTGACCTGCACATCCTCGATCATGATGGAATAGGAGACCTCAGCAGCCTCCAGGTGGGCTTTGACCGCCTGCAGGCTGGGGAAGGGCACACGGATGTCCACGGGAAGTCCGAGCCCACGGGGAGCCAGCCAGAAATCCAGCTGGGTGTGGAAAAACAGAGATAAGGGCTCAGATCCTGCCTCGGGATGCACCCTCCAGCACCAGCCTGTCTTGCTTTTCCCATAATCCCACTTCCAGCCCCATCCTTGCTTTGCTTGGGGGGTGTAAAATCCATAATCCCACATCCTTGATTTGCTTGGTGGGTGTAAAATCCATAATCCCACATCCAGCCCCATCCTTGCTTTGCTTGGGGGGTTGCCATGGACTGGGGGGTGTCCCCAAAATCCACCTCCACACCCAGTACCTGCAGATGCTCCAGCTCCTGCAGCTCCTGCACCTTCTGCAGCTCCTCATCGCTCTGGGGGACGACGCGCAGCACCTGGTGCCTGTGGGGTCAGGGGGGTGTGGGACGAGCTCCGGCCCCATTAGTCTGGCCTAACCCCACCCCATCCATCCCCCCATTCCAGGGATTTCCCCTGAGCCTTTTCCTTGTGCTCCCTCAGGGCTGAATCAGCTCTTCCCGCCCCACCCAGGATGTCACCGGTGTCACCATCCCCATCCAGACCCCCCTACCCAACAAAGGTCTCGGTGCAGGCGGCCACTGCCACCAGGGCAGCCAGGAGCACAGGGAGCCTCATGGTCAGCGGGGACAGCCGGTCTCACGTCCCAACAGCGCCCTGGCGCCTCTTAAATCCCATGGGATGGCGGCCCCAGCCCAGCCCCTCCAGCTGTCCCTTCTCCCAGGGCCCTGGGCAGGCTCCGGCCGTCACCGGCCAAGGTCAGGCCCCGCCGTCCCCATCCAGGCACTCCCAGTCCCGGCCAAACCTGTCCCAGGAACCGGCTGGGGCCGCGCTGAGTCAACAAGGTGACACCGGGAGGTGCCAAAATCCCCAGCACCGGCTGAGGGGAAGGAAAGGATCGGTTTGGGCTGAGAACGCACAAAATGCAGATTTTCACTTGGGGCTTGGTGAGCTGGATCCCTAAACCACGGTGCTGGGGAAAATTTGGTTTAAAATTTGTGCGAGGAAAGCGGCGTAAAGCTTGGCCCAGGACAGAGGTCAGAGCAGGTGACATTTGTCCCAGGAGCCAAAAATAAGCAGCAAACACCTAGAAGCACCTTGAGAGATGGCCCTGAGGATACCCCACATCCCCCCTTGTAGCCCCCCAGGAAGGGATGATGGAGCAAAACCCCACAAATTTGGGGGTGGTTGCCCAAAAAATCCTCATCTCCTCCCATTCTGGCTCCAAAGGATGGGCACTTTGAGCCAAAGTCACGAGGGGAAAATCAACACCTGCAGGGCAGGGAGTCCTTTTCCACCCTTTTTTTTTTTGGGAGTTTAGCATGAAAAAAGCGAGGGTGCCTGAAAGCGTTGAATCTCCATGAGGATTTATTGAGAGGAGGGAATGCTGTGGGAGGTGCTGGGGTCAGTATGGATGCTCCAGGACGTGGACCATGATGTCCAGGAGCGCCGGCCACGTCTCGGTGGCAGTGGGGACGATCTGGGAGCTGGGCAGGAGGAATCCGTAGCGCCCCGAGTCCCTCAGCTCCAAGGAGAAGGAATATTTCACCCCGTTGTCGTAGGCCCAGTCGATGGTGGTGCCTCCTGCCATGTCTGCAGGGAGAGGAGCCCAGATGGGAGCCCATTCCCGAGGGATTTGATGCGGGATGAGGGAGGAACACTCACAGATGGTGTTGGCGATGCTGCCGTAGGTGTATTTCGTCCCGAACACGGCGGCCAAGTCGCTCACGGCTTTCTTGGCCAGTTCATTCTGCAAAGGAACCACCAAAAGCGGTGGGATCTTGTGGATCAAGGGAGATCCAGAGCCCATCATTCCCCATCCCTTCTGCTCTAGGTTTTCCAAAAAAAAAACCAAAACCCTTAATTTTTGATGTTTGAGGTCCATCTCGCAACCACCCTCCACCAGGACCCAGGAGCAGGGGTTTGATATTCAGGTTCATCTGACCAGAGGAGCAGAGAAGCTCCTGAGATGCTCTGACTTTGCCAGGTGGTCACAGCCCCACGTTTTGGGGCCATCTCACCATTTCCTGGTGGTCGGGTGTGGGTGCCCTCTTGTATCCATAGGGGAAGAGCAGCATCTGGGAGTAGCTG